AAAAAACCATCTAATGTAATATAAAGTTAAAAGGTTTTCTGCACACCCTCTGCAGACCCCAAGGAGGTTGGACGTATGTCTAATCGATTCGTTATAATAGATTATCTATACATTATCAATTTTATTACCCGTAGACCACTTTTTTTTGTATTCTCACAGTCGACTGCTATCCGGCGACATCTACCCCGGCCCACAAAAACCGGTTGCTGAGCTGTTCACCTCTTTGCATCAGTAAATATTTCAGATAATCTCTTCAAATATTTTCTCTCTTATGCAAAAAATAATTTTCTACTGTTGTCTCTTGTGATTCGCTTATCCATAGAATATCCGACAGCCATTTTTCCGTATTTTGCGCACACACACACACACACACACACACAAACACACACACAGACAACCATTTTGTAAGATCCTAGACTAAAGTCAAGGGAATATATATATATTAGCAGATGGTTACCATTAACGTAGAAGAGCAAGAAATTAACTTGATTGCGAGACCTTGCTCCTAATGTTTGTTGGATCCCGTCAAATTAAGTGTATTTATATCTTCCTCCTCTAACTCATATTCTTTCTGTAAAATCGGTTGTAAAAAGAGGGAAATTATGGTCAAAGTTTGTGGAAAGGAATGTGGCGTTTTGAAGAATCTGAAGATAAGAGGCAGATCAACGCTGAGGACACTTATTTCTGCAATTAAATTACATTAATCACTATTTCAGAATTGCAAGGGTTTTCTCTTCTCTTTTCTTCTTGATGGATGTTGTTGGTATGTTTTTTAAATTCTCCATACAATACACCAAAAATGAGACATTTCTTTAGAACTTGAAGATTTGAATTTACATGATGGAACAAAAAGAGATCAAACTACGTATCTTAAGTCTATACCAATACGTTTGAAACAACAATCAATGGGACATGTCGATGGACAACAACAAATGTCTCTGTCAAGACATGAAAGTGCCTCGAGTGGAAGTATTGGAAAACGAACCAAACGGCGTTCCCCATCAAATAGCAGCAGTAGAGACTCTGATTATCGACATGACGGTAACTATTTAACACGAAGAACAACAAGTAGTAATAATTAGTTGCCTTTTTTAGAAAGATTAAAATCACGTCGTCGATCGTCAAGCAATGATCGAGACTCTTCTTCATCTAGCAGTAGTAAGAAATTTTTAAAAAAAATTAAATATTAGTTTGTAGTATTTAATCTAAACGGTTCATTTCAGATGGCAATAATGAGGAAGATGAAAGCATGGAAGAAGATGACGCGAGTGAAAGCGATCGAAGTTCTCCTAGTTCTGTAAAAGAACCTGTTCGATGGGATTATAGAGTAAGTAAGTGTCATTATAGTAATTGATACCTCTATATCAAGTTAGAAATATTCTATATTTTGTTTTACGACTATTTAGATAAACTTGATTGGCCGCCGTGTAAAAGATAACAAAGCATTTTGTTGTTTTAGTTGTGGTCATCCAGTTTTAGTAGCTGGACGATTGGTATGTGATGAATATTTATGAACGAACAAGATAATGGAATCAATTACATCTTTTTTCTGTTCTAGCTACCATGCAAACACGCTTTCTGTCTTCATTGTGCACAACAATGCAAAAATGATAGACGAAATTGTCCCAAGTAAGTTTTTTCTGATTGAAATATTTTCATCTTCAATTTGAGGTTAAATTGTTCTTTTTTCCTAATAGATGCAGTGATTCGATCAATGACGTCGAAAAGATCGAAGCCAAAAACTTAATAATGTGTTTGTACGGCGGTCATCGTAATTCTCATGATGCATGTTTACGCGGTTATACATCTCAACGTGATTTAAATGCGCATGTTAAACGACGGCATGAACGGAATAGTGGTACAAATATTTCTACTGCAAATGTTAATGAATCTCTATCGCCTCATACACAAAAAGACAATTTTTCAAACTATGCTCAGCCGTCCAGCCATATGGCTCCTCAAAGTAACTTACAACAGCAGCAAGCCCCACCTCAACTATCGACGAGAATGCCTCCTCCAAACTTAGCAAATATTGATTCCTTGCTGAACAATTTATATGATCCAACATCCCTATTCCATCAAAACGATCCACATTTTCCACGAGCACCAATTTTAAGTGGTGTCGCTCCACTTCCACCTCCACCACCACCATTACCATTTGTAGGACCACCGTCGCAAACAACGCAGGCTCCCTTATGTTATCCAACACAACATAATCAATATTCTCAAATACCGGCTCCATACTTACAAGCTCCCCTGCAAAATCCTCCACACGTTTTCACAGATTCCCAATCTCATCAATACTATTGAGAGCGTTTATTTATCAATTTTTATATTTTCTTTGTTTATTTTTTGCTCTAGTTTATATGATATTGTTAAATGAATACTTGTTTTTGATTTTTTGTACATTAAGCAATGTGTTAATTCTTGCTAACATGGCAGTGGAGCGAAGACTTTTCGAACGTATACTAAATTTAAATACGGCAGTTTTTAAAATTTTAGTTTATTAATTACATGAAAAAACTAAAATACTCTCTCTCAACAAAAGCAAATCAAAATCTCAAGCTCCCTTAAGAGAACATATTGATTGTAGATGGTGGCCTTCAACTCGCTAGAAGGTCTTTTAATTATTGTTGTATTGGTTGTGGAGCGCGTGATTAACTAAGACACGACAATATAGATATTCTAGTTCTTCATTACAAACAACCATATGGTATAACAGCTGTTGTACTTAAATGTCAACTCCCAAAGGCATGCTGTATTGTCGTTAATCGACTCCCAAAATTGTTCTTTATTGATAAGATTCAGAGACAGTATAGCAATATAAAAGACAGATTTTGTCTTTACCGAATACATCGTCCCAGTTGTGAAAAATCATTCCTTTTTGTCAAAAATGTTACAGTTTTCAGGGGGTGTAACTTGATTTTCAGAAAAACAACGCTCAAAGATTTTTTCTGCTTTTTTCTAAAAATATGAGGGGGCTTTTATATTGATGCGAACGTTTTTGGGAAAAATGAAGGCTGGATTATTTACTATTTAAATAGAGCAATATGAGCTTTAATATCAGGCTATTTAGCGCCATGAGATTTTCATTCACAGGATATGACGATCGGAGAGAAATAATTAATTCAAAAATTATCGGCAAAAATTGATATTGTTGCTTTTTTTAAGTTGAAGAGAACGTCAATGAATGTCTGTTACTACTAATGCTATAGAATTTGATAAAAACAGTGTTTTAGAAGCAGATAGTAGAAAAACAATCTAGTAGGTTAAACCTAAGATACCGACGAAAATCAATGTTTTTCACGCCAGGAAAGTTCCGCTAAAAGACATGGTCAGTATACACTCTAAAAAAAAGCCGTAGATTAATAAACTGCAATAAAAGAGTTTTTGGGAGAGTCTTTTGGGTCTAAAAAACTCTTTAAAAAACCCTGTTAGTTTTTTCCTCGGTTTTTAGACACAAAAAACTCTCCCAAAAACCGTGAGTTTTTCATTTTGAAACGACTACGAACGCTTTTTAGTTTTTTGGTCTAAAAAACCTGTTAAAAAACTCTTTTGGATTTTTTATCAGTTTTTTAGTCCAAGAAACTCTTTTATTGTAGTTTATTAATCTACGACTTTTTTTTAGAGTGTAGCGAGTCTCCTAAATTTTCCTAACGTTTTTTCTTGATTCAAACTTTGCCCAAATTTTGGTCTGAATGTAATCCAATGATGGTGCGTGTGCAAGCCTTCTGGAACTTATCCACAGATATTTGAAGAAATCGACAGTTTTCACATGCTTTGAATTTTCATCAGCTTCACATCATTTTTCTCTATAAACAATGCAATATTCGAAACCAGCTTGTTAAACTGCATGGGATGATCTGTATTAAAAACTTTTTAAGAGAAAAAAATTTCTGCAAAACGTTTTGTCTTTGGTCCCCTAAGATGCCTTTTTCGAAAAAAACATATGTATAAAGTGATTTCCACTATCTCCCAAGTCGAAAAACAGATTGACTACTCAAAAAAAGTATATGTTCGTATGATGAGCCAAAAATCCTCACTGTGGGAAAGAAGCATAAGAAATTTTCTGTTTTGCTGTATGACCTGTACTTTTAGAAAAAAACTAAATCGTTTTACTGACGAAAAACGATCATTTTCAAAAACAAGGAACGCACAGCACGCTCTAGCGCCCTACAGGATTTAAACCTCAGACATTTTCATTCATATCGCCATTTAGAAACGCTTTACCTTCATTCCCAAATCATAGGCAAAATATGAAGCTGAACTGTATAAAAGCGCAAAAAATGTAGTAGATGCACTCTCATCAGTTCTCACTAGCATTTCTGATAATTCTAGAAGCCAAAATTGCTAATAGGGCGTGGTCAAGCGTGACGGAATTTCATGTTTTCGCATTCTGCGATTTATAACCCGCGAACGGCGGAAGCAAACCTTTTGAAATTTTTATCATAGATAGAAAACCATGAGTTCTACTACCGAAAAAAATTTCATTAGAATTGGTTGAGCCATACAAAAGTTATTGGAAAAACAGAGGCCGTGACGATTTTTCAAAACGGTAGACGGTATTTCATTGCAGAAGGTTAAACTCAAAGGCGAAGATATTTAGAAAACGAGTAATATATAGACTGACATGTGCTCTGTCTGATGCAATTTAAAATAAAGTTAACAAACTTGTTTAACTCATCGAAAAAGTGGTTTTCCAGAAAACTCTTTTGACTCTAAAAAATGTTCTAAGCATCGCAACTTCGAAAAACATAAGCCATTTTGTAGAGAATTGAATTCTCTTTCGATCAGCATAGTTTTGAACTTTTTTCAAGAAAATATCTAGGTGAGGAAATTTAAATTATAAAATTTTAAATTTAAATTTTTATAAATTTTAAAGTTGATTTTCGCGATCATCGTGAAAACCTGCATCTAGTAATGTGCCTCTCGATTTAATTAGGTAGAAAAATGTTTTTTAACCTGATTTGAGAGGGACCGTTAGCTGGTCACGCTGAATAATAGTACTGGTTAACAAGATCCACCCCTAAGAATGGACATTGGTGGGTTATTACATCGATAACAGACAATGGTAGGAACGAGTGAATTCAGTGTAATCGACTGTTGATCTATTAGCCATCACCAGAAATACAGACGCGTTTCTTACTTAGAATAATGTTTTGCAACATGTCGACTAATCAAGGAAAGAAATATCGATCGAATTGTTCCAATTATCTGTTTTCTTTTTTTAAAAACTTAAATTCTCATCTCTTCAGTCTATTAAAGTCGAGCTATGCCAAGGTATTGAGACACCGAGCATGGGATAACCTGTCTAAAACTATTACTTGATTGCCCTTGCGGAATTCAAACCGAGTATGTTGTGTGCCCATTAACTGACTAGATCATGCTACTCTATTCAACTATATGTTAGAAACAAGAAGGGATAGCAGCAAGTTTCAATTATGAAATAAGAAAGTATGAGACTACTACAAAATAAAACAGTTTCTCTCTCTCTCTTTCTTTCTTTTGTTTTTTTCAGCAATGGTGATATTTCTGTTTTCGTACATACATTCGTAAACTTTTCATACGAGATCATATTCTGACGATGATGGTAGTTTAAACATGGAAAGCTCGATATAATAAATGATTTTTGATTAAAATCTAAATAAATTACTTAAGTCAGTCACAAAGGTCTGCCACTTTCTAATATTTATTCATAAAAAAGATATTCCACTGATCTATCTACAGCAAATGTTAAAGATATTAGTTTAGTCCTTTCAATCCACTTCTCAAATGTTTTGCTCTATTATTAACAGATACTGTAGTTAGTTCTTTGGTTATTTATGCTGCATCTGGATATATTTATCTAATCTTCTTTTGAAATAACTAAGCAACGAAAAATTTCAAGAAAAACAAGATGATATGAACAACGGAGATGAGCCATTAGTTTAATTTTTGTTATTTAAGATAGTTAGTAGCAACATTTTCCACATATAATCTTGGATTGCCATAAGGGAGCGTGATGCAATTTGTTCTTGATGATTATATTTAGTAATTTTACAACCGCCTTCTTAGTTACTAGAGACTCAGTCTCTAGTAACTAAGATTTCTAGTAACTAAGAAGGCGGTTGTAAAATTACTAAATATAATTAGATTTAAGTCGAGTTTCATATACAGATTTGTTCTTGATGATCGTCTTTTGTTCAATAACTTTATAACTAATAAGTTTAAACATTCATCGCGATAATAGATAGTATGAGCACATGCTACGAAATGTACTTCATAAATGCGTAATGATCCAGTTATCACAGGGATGCTAACAAACTATGTTTTTTGTACTTATAACGTTGCTTTTTAGCGACAGTCAAAGGACTCTCCTTCTACTGTCCATGTTTTTGATTGTTGTGTTGATTCCATTTTGCGATGATAATGGCTCATCTCCGTTGTTCATATCATCTTGTTTTTCTTGAAATTTTTCGTTGCTTAGTTATTTCAAAAGAAGACTAGATAAATATATCCAGATGCAGCATAAATAACCAAAAAACTAACTACAGTATCTGTTAATAATAGAGCAAAACATTTGAGAAGTGGATTGAAAGGACTAAACTGAATATCTCTAACATTTGCTGTAGATAGATCAGTGGAATGTCTTTTTTTATGAATAAATATTAGAAAATGACTGACCTTGTTGATTGATCTTTGTAGTAGTCTTATATTCTTTCTTCATATCTTATACTAATTTTTTTCAGATTTATGTTTAGTTTTGTCGATTTAGCTTTTTATTTGGGAATTGTTTTCATTAGGAAATTATTTATTGACGTCTAACTTAAAATGAGTTTAGTTTGTTTTCTTGCGCGAATTTAGTCCAAGACTGCAGAGATCAAGTGATTTTTCATTTTACAAACATTCAAAATCTCCTTTCGTAAAATATCGATGTCGTAATTGACTGTGTTTGACTTTTATTGAACGTATGTGTATATAATTTTGTTGGACATATTCATGACTGATGAATATGTTTTTTGTTTGCTAGTGCGTTTATTTAACACTTTTACTTGGCACATATTTTTGCAGTCTATGTAGAAATTATTACTTTTTCTACAATAACAAAGGATACAACAAACGTTGCTTTAGTTACACTAGATATGTGTAAAAAGAAGACAATCAGTTGTAATTAAAGTTGATTGATTAGACAACAACAGCAATTTTTACCAAAATATTATTCTTCAAGAAAAAGTTACTATTCGTTCGATTAAAATAACAATGAACGTAAATAAATAAGAATTATAACAATTCATGTATAGACTACTTTTTAACTTCTTGATATTTTCAATCTTGAGTTATCGATTACAGGAAAATGTTCAAAATTCTTCGAATTATATTTTCGTTAAACTCATTTAGAAATATTGTTCTTAACCATGCTCAATTACGACATCAAAATATTTTTCTTGATTCTGTTCAATTTCACAAACGTTATCATTTTACATACTCGATATTATCGAATAAACACAGTGATGTGTAGTCAAAATTAATGGAACTACATGTGCCACTGTGAAGAGTTGCTAATTTCAATTTCAAGTATGGTCATTAGTTAATCTCTTGAGAATTGTATGCAAATCGAATCAAAGATAGAAAGTGAAAAGATTTGATTTTTGTTAGTCATATTTTCTTTCCAATTTTTTTGAGTTTTTTTCAATTTGACGGGTTTATGATAGGGAACGGAACGTTTGAACTTTTCTATTTTGTTTTCCATCGTCATACTTATGATTGGTGATACTTATTAGTAATAAAAATGACAAGTAGTTTCTAAAATTGACTGATCGGAAACCATAAAAAAAATATTCAGACAAATTTCTCCGAACATGAAGGTATTTCTTTTTTAAATTCAACTATAATAAAAAAAGATTGAATCTCTTTCTAACAAACTATAGAGAAGCAAAACATTAAGCTGTAATAAAAAGAGTTTCTGTTCGGAAACATTTATTTTTATTCTCATAACAAAAAATAGCTAGATAGATAACTTTTTTATAGTTTTGATATATATATTAATGAAAATAAGGAGAAACTATTATTTTTTGTTCTTTTGTAGAGATGTCTGGATGGTTTTATAAAACTTTGGTATGAACGATGAATCAATCCATCAGAAGAAATATAACAAGTACTAGATTTTAAACGGAATATAGAAGATATCTAGGCCTATGGCGCTACGTGTGTATAATCAAAAGAATATTTTGAATTGATGAGTTGTGAAATATTCTTTAGCTGTATGTGGATTATAGATGTTCACATGCAACAATTCAATGAATGAAACGTTCTCTAGACGTAAAAGAGAGAAAGTGACTGAAAAATTCGTATAAATGACATCTAATTTCATAACAGTAATATCTAAAGAGCTTCACTTCAAAGACAGAAAATAACTAGGTGGTATTATACGCAAAAAATCCAAAGAAACCGTAGGCTTGATCTGATATCATTCACATCAATTCAAAGCAGTGGTGGATTTAGGGGAGTGACGGTACTAGCGGCCGCCAGCACCGAAAATGTTGATTCCATGTTATTTTGTCCATAGAAACTCATAAATCCCACGTATGCAGTGCTCTAAACTGTGTGTGTTTTTCAATTCTGCCAGTACCGAAATTTTTTTTAAAATTCACCACTGCCTATGATAAAGATTCATTTCTATTTCAAAAAGATCACTTTCTTCAAATAAGAGCAGAAAACGAGATAATAAAAAGAAAACTCAATATTGAAACTGTAATACTGAAGAGTTTTTGCAATAAATTCGATAATATAGTTTTTTAACACTACAGCCGTATTACTTTGTACCATTATCTCTATATCATACCTACAAGAGTTCTTCACATCTTGAAATAACATCAAGCAATAAAAAAAAAAATACTTTTTCCAAATTCTGTTGTCGATATTGTACGAAGTTTTTCGTAATAATACTATCTAATTCTATAGAAAGTTAACCAACCGATGCTTAGCAAAAATATTAACGAATCCATTCCTCGAAGAGAAAAGGAAAATATATTTTCTTTCTATTTTCTTGTTTGGTCCACTCTATGTATATTAAGAAGAGAAGAACATAATTGGGTGATCCATAATTCTTCAACTACTAAGATAGAAAAAGAATGAAACAAAAAAAAGTACCATAGAACGAAGATTCAGTATATATGTCAAGATATAAAGAATAAGTGTTGACAACTATTGAAAGATCAAACGTATCCTATTTTCTTTTTCAGTCTTTTTTCAAAGAAAACAATCTTTCAACAAAAATCAGCCATTCTTCTTTTTTTCAAGAAGATAATTCTGTCTATTTTCTGATTACATCGATTCAAAAAAAAAAACGACATAAATGGTAAACAATCGGCACAATTTTTGAATAATAATACCGTATTTTTCTCAAAAATGGCGTCGATATTACCTGTAAACGATTCATCAACTTATACAAGTTCGGAGTATTTTACAGAGGATCAAACAAATGAGTTCAATTCTATACAAACACATCATCAACAACAATATTTGTTTGACAGTATGAAAAATAGTAGTAAACACCAAAAATTAACGTCAAAAGGAACAGCAAGAAAAAACAAACGATCAGGTAAGATATAATTTACTTTTACGTATATCTCTCTAACAGCTGTAATCAGCAAGAAAAGTATTTGTCAATGCGTTATAGCATTAGTCCAACTCATGTTTTATATTACATAGAAAGATTCGAAATTCTTCTCTAAGTTAGAGAAGTTTCACAATTTAGGTCTGTACGTTGGAACTTGGAAATTATGTTAAATGCGGAAGATTTTCAATTGTTTTACGGCGAAGTCGCGCAAAAGCTCAGAGGTGAATATCACTTTAAACATACCGAATAAGAGAAAAAAATGTAATCCTGAGCTATTCTTGGATTTGCTCCTTCCAGAGCTATCGAAACTTGGGAAAAAAGAAAACGTTTGTCTTAGGTTTGAGAAATAAAAATACGAAGTATATAATATTTAGATGCAGGTTGTTATTCAGTTGATAAGAAATTGTTTTTTTGTATAGGCCATTCGCAGGAGAATTTCATATTCAAAGAAAAGAAAATAAGAAGACGGTTACTCTCTCATGAGATGCGATTCTCTTCACTGAATTTTTTCCATCATCTATTGTTTCGCAACAAAAGACAAAATCTTATCAGTTAGTCGGATATGATGGTCAAAAGCAAAAAAAAAAAGAAACTTGAACAAAGGAGATCAAAGTAGTAGCAAGCACGTGTCAAGTGATGTGATGAAATTTATGAATTAGAGAAATTGATTCTGTTAGCAAGTGTGCTCAATAAAGATCTGAAATGATATTAATAAGCCGATATATCATAAAACTAACGAATTTCAACACTATTCAATTTAATTCAGAGACAATGTGAGACTATTGAAGAAGAAGTTTACTCTAGTGTAAGGAAGGCTCATCGCACCGTTTTTTGTTTTTTTTGTTGTATTAAATGACTGCTTCCACTATTTCGTATGATCGAGATATGATAACTATTCGTTCATCTTTTGAAACTAGCATACAACAGAAAAAATTAATGATTATTTGATTACTTTGTGGAAGTAAGCTTCAAATATATATCTAAAGCTTGATTGAAACAACTCTCTAATACACTCAATAATGTGAAAAGATGATGTCCTCGACCTTTACGAACATTAATATTATGTTCATAGAAATACATAGTTAGTAGTTGTTTCACGTCAGTTGTTTTAGCATATTTGTTTCTTGTTATTCATACAAACTGTCTAAAAAGTAAATGTGGAATACACATTGTTACACTGTCATTGAGATTCAACGTCTTTCGAGCTGTCAACACATTTTTTTTTTGTATATTTTACGCATCTTCTTTAATGATTAATATAAAACAGCTGCCACCATCTTTATATCCGGTTTATATACATACCTTATTCTGTTCAGAAAAATTAACATTGACCAATCGTCATTTAGTATAAACAAAAAAATTCAATCTATACTAGCCAATGAACAAAAAGCTAGCGAAGTTTAAGGCCTAAATGATACATTTTTTTCTGTTCAATGATAAGACACTTTTTTAAAAACCCACCTTCTTAGATCATTCTTAGAGCCTAGAGTTCGACCACGCTATTTGGCGTCTTTCCTTATAGCGCGATGAAACTGTGACCAAGGAAAATGCATCTTATTATTTGTTAAATCTTAAAGAGTGATGATATATAATACGATAACACTGCGAATACTTACAGCAACGTGCGCTACAACAATGATCGAAAGTTGACTCGGGTAAAATATGATTTATTGCATCATTGTATGGGATATTCTAATACTACGAATACCGAAATACACAAATTTTACTTCCACTTTAAATGATGACTGTACACTATAAAATTAGATTCAACCAGATTAATTTCGGTCAACACGATTTCAACTGCAGAAGCGAAAAATTTGTCCTTATGAACAGGATTTTTGATAAACAACACGAGAGAAGTTCAACTAGCCAAGAAAAGTTCAATCGTTGTTTCCTCGTTGTTCTCAAAATTCTCGCTCATCTAACTGAAATTTTCATATAGAAATTGAAGTTCTCGTGGGAAGAGTAAAATTTAGCTTGACATGTCCATAAACAGGTTACAAAAATTGAAACTTTTCGGTGGACAGACAATCTCTTCGAAAAAATTTCTGTTCGTTTAGGGTTTTCTTTGTCGTTGTAGACGCCAAAAAGTGGTTTTTCGATAAGTAGATGATGGACATGGAAAAAGTGTGCACGTGGGTCTCTATGCACAGCAGAGGAAAATTTTAGAATTTCTGGAAATTGAACATTGCTGATCATTGCAGATCTTACTATAAAAATCAGTTGTTTTGATCTTTAAATAAATCCTTTTTTTCGTGCAAGTCTGGCTAAACTATCACACATGACATGAAAACTTGTTGAATTGTGAGACATTTTTTTATATTTAACATCATGTAGCAGGAAAAATAACATAAACGTTACGTCATGTGGATAGGTATACATCAGAATATTTGATTTTGGAGGATGTCACAGCGTTTAGTTAGTGCCACACAAATTATGGTTCTTTATAATTTAGATAATCCTCATGCCCCAAAACGAATTCGAACAGCATATACCAATAAGCAATTACTTGAGTTGGAAAAAGAATTTCATTATAGCAAATATTTATGTCGACCGCGACGAGTTGAAATAGCCTCAACACTGTTACTAAGTGAGAGACAAGTGAAAGTGTGGTTTCAAAACAGGTAACATACATATACACAGGTTCCCCAACACTTATTATTTCTAATTTTTTCCCTAATGCAGGCGAATGAAATACAAGCGACAACTGATGCTTCAAGATCCAAAACTGACAGAAGTCGAATTAGAAGAACTAACTAGAGGGGAGGAGGAAGAGGAAGAAGACAGTAACAACAATGACGATAAAGGTGACGATATTGAAAACTCAAAATCGAACGACATTAGTGATGAAAAACTGATGCTGAACAAGCAACAAGAAACATCTGAAACAGAAAAATTGCAATGTGGACCATTGAAGAAAAGAAAAAAACGAAATCGATGTACATTTAAAAATTGCGGAAAAGCTAATGCAGTAGAATGGTCAACGGTGGACGAAGAAATGAATAATTTAACTTCTACTGAAGTGTTAATTGACGCTAAAATGGCACCAGATACCATTTCTACAAAAGTCTTATTTGAAGACACAAATGTACCACTGAACAGTACCACAGTTAAGGTAATAAATGATCTTTTAAAAGTCATTTTCTGATAGTGCTCAACAGGCCGCAATCCTTGATATCACCGATCGGGTTGAAATTTTTATCATATGTAGGGCTCATGTCGACTAACTTAAGACCAAAATATAATCTCTTGGAAATGCTTCATTCCCGAGTTATAGATATCGTTTTATCGACAGCACCTTCCATCAATAATCAATAGAACCCACTTTTCTCATGAACCATCCAATATTATTCGTTGAAACTTTCAGAGAACAGGTACTTTTGCATGGACTATCTACACTAAAAGTTTCATTAATAATAGTGAACCGTTCACGAGAAAACTAGATTCAGCACACAACTTGGGAGCTACTTTTCTCCCGTCGCGAATATGATCTAGACTTGAAACTTTCAGAAGTTAGAGAGCAAAACTATCTCTATCAAAAGCTGATCTCAAACTCTTTGTAACCCATTAAACTCTGAACAAAATGAGACGTTTTTCGAGTAGCGCTTAAAAAAATTTCTACAGAAATGATCGTTTCGCTATTTTTTCTGTTTTTGTAATAAAAAATCAACTTTTTTAAACTACAGTTTTGTGAGCGCTCTAACTTTTCGAAAGTTAAAATTCGTCGTGTAAAGCTAGAAGACGTCTCATTTTGTTCAGACTTTAATGGACTACAATCTCCACAGATCAGAAAAATTTATTAATTGTATTTTAGGCGTTTTCAGTTCTAGAAACCTGGGTATTGAGAGAAATCTTTAAGAAGTTTCTCTGAAACTGAACTCTGAAAAAGTTTCTCCTGTTCTCTGAAAGTTTCAACGAATAATATTGGATGGTTCATGAGAAAAGTGGGTTCTATTGATTATTGATGGAAGGTGCTGTCGATAAAACGATATCTATAACTCGGGAATGAAGCATTTCCAAGAGATTATATTTTGGTCTTAAGTTAGTCGACATGAGCCCTACATATGATAAAAATTTCAACCCGATCGGTGATATCAAGGATTGCGGCCTGTTGAACACTATCAGAAAATGATTCTGAAACAAAAAGATCCTCATGATTGATATATATTTTGATAGTCGTATTGACTATGGTACATCCTTTTATGGTTCGAAAGTAATTTCATTCTTCTTGTGTTATAGGATGATCAAATTAAGGAGGAAAGTGCTATTGAGATGGGTATGAACAATAACGGTTCGACGCACGACAACGTTACTATGCCATGGAATAATAATCCTGCTAATGATTTATATTTTGATCATCCAAACGATGTAACACCCAATGTCAGCGTTATGATGGTAAATGATCAACAACCTCCATCTTATATTTATTCAAAATCATCCGCTTCTTCGAAAAGTACACCAGCTTACGCCGAACAAGTTGTTGCTAGAAGAAGCAGTTGTATAAAATTAGAACACACTTTAACAACTGTTTGTCCAATAGATGACAGTAGGCAGCAGCCAGACATTGCTAATACAAGCTGTAATTGGTCAACAAATATGACCACACCGTCTCTTGATAATTATTTCAATAAAACTCAGTGTGATCAAGTTAACTGTTTTTGTAACTATAATAATAATACGACATTCGTTCCTACAGATGACACATTTGTAAATTCACAATATGTAACAAATTCGAGTAATGATTTTCCTAGTTGGATGAATGGAAACTCTTTTTATAATCATCAACAACAACCCTACGTTTTGCCTCAAAAAACTTCATCATTACCTTATCCTCAATTATCTAATTCTTGTTATTCGTCTCAACCAGTCCAACATAACATGACCGTAAATGTGCCAGTAGTGACTAATTTTCAATTAAATGTTAATACTCATGTACCATCTCAACCACCACCTCCTCTGACATATCCATCGACGAACAGCAATGTTTACCCATCACAAAAATACATATTGTCACCGTACAGTAATTCTGGAACATTTAGTAATTCACAGTACAATAATCAATCGCAAAAACAACAAACACCACATTCTTATCGTACTCAAACTCAACCACCGCCACCACCATCATCAACTTTCGTTACAAAAAAATACAATCATTTATCCTACAATACTAATCGCCATATGCAAAAAACATTTCATCGTGAACAGCCTTCACATTTAAGATCTTGGTCATCGTCACTTAACTACGTTTGTCGAGATGAGTATCCGATGAATGTGACTTCTTCTACATATACCGGAAACCATCAATCAAGTGCAATGATGGAAAATATTTACCATCAACTATAACACGGGTTTTTGTCAATTCCTGTAGCATACTTGAATGCATAAATAAAATTTTCATTGTTTTCTTGTTCAATGTAATATCCAACTAGGCATTCTAGAACCGTCGAAGAAAATATAAGGTGTACATAAATTTTGCAACAAATGTTGAGTGCTGTTTCTCTATGTTTCCAATATTCTAGAGACTGGGTTTTTTTTACAGAGAAAGATCTACATTATACAACTTGCATCAAACAAGTTTTCCTCTCATCAAATTTCATTGAGAAAAAATTCAAACACGCTATCTTCTGCAAATAGGTTTCTTTTTTATCTAATAATAAGTTTGACGAATGAATAATTATTACATTTAAGAGTGTTTGAAAGTCCCTTTCGAGTGGTATGTAATAAGTTTTTTAATAAGTTTATATTTATTAATATTATCTCATCCAGCTGTTTGGAAGAATAATTCTTTTACGTATACACTGCCACTCAATTTCCTTAAGATTAATCAACTGTTGCCATTTATTGATATTCAATTGACTACATATAGTTTGTGTTTGCGTTTTCAATTTTTTGTGCGAATTCCACTTTTGCGTAGCTCTTTGAGCAGTTATCTGATTCGGTTTGAATATGAACCTTCTATGTCAGATATTATCAAATACGTTAGTAAACTCCAACATGTATTGAAAATGCAGCTGATGAATATTTTCCTAATGATTAACTAACTTTCTAACAGAATTGTAGACTTTGTAGTTGACTAGAAATAATAGAAGAAAGAATTAAAGGAATAAGTTCTACATAGATGTCAATATCTCGTTGCTGTTGTGTTTTCGTTTGAGTCACTGAAAGCGAATCAGAGGTTTCAAATCGAGTTTTGATTGGTGTACATTCTAAACGAATGTGTCACATCTTGCCACAATTGACATTAGCTGAATATGAGTGTTATATATATCTATACTGTCCTATAATGCTACGGTAAATGTGCAGAAATATCATGCTAAAGGTGTACAACGTTACATGTCATCATCGTCTTACTAATGAAACGATATTAATACACATTTACCGTAGCTTTTTAATAATTTTTCTTATTGAAAAATGTTGTTCTCTACCGTGCTTTTAAGATTAACACTTTTTAAACCTCTGATCTGTAAGTTATTTGAAAATGCTTTTCAACTTTTAAAGATGCGACACCCCAAAAAAATAAATCGATTTTTCCCAGCAGAAAAAAAACTTTTCTTGCGTTCTCTGAAAAAAATTCTTGTCCCAATGGAGCACCCCTCGCCCCAAAGTCTGATTGGTCGCGATGACCACTGAAAGTCAATGGAGTGCTAGGTTTATAGATAAAAGTCGCTACTTCGTCATGAACTTTCAGTCGGAGTGCCAAGCCCAAAATACATAATAGAATAAGACTATCCTCGATTCGAAGCTTTAGATTTTGCTCACTTTATGTCTGAAAGACTATATCTCAAGAAGAGAATGTATCCCTAAAATTTTTCTTAATCAAGCGGTTCCTTCGTTAGTAATTCGTCCATGCATCTGATGACTGGCTAAAAAAATGAGCCAATTGATAATGTAATAAAGTCACAGAAATCAACCATAATTGATGTTGTTTCCATGTAGAATCCCCTGTATACGACATTTTTGGATTCTAAGTGCATCAGCTAACGACCTACTAATGAACAATGGATTCAGCGATTGACATTTGAATCGAGCAAAATAATCATAAAAACAGTTATGTTCTCGGCACAGCACAAACAAATTGCTGATCTAAACCCACGGAAAAAGAGATTAATCATGAAATAATATGCAAAAAAACTAAAATTATTAAGAAAAAATAAAGACACTCGGCTGGGCTATGAACTTCGTCCGTCTCGATCCCTAAGCACTGTTTTAATCTAAAATAGAAATGTACAAGACATCGCGGATAGCGTAGAAATCAGACTAAAATAGCACAAAATTATATATATCCATAAAACATCCATGTTTTAATTACATTTACCCTTATACTTTTGTTGTTTGGATCATAGGGGGTAAAAAAAGGGGAGCAAATGAGTGGTACGTTTCCGTACAATCAACATCTGTCCGTGTGGCCGTAGCCGTAATTTACCGATCACCATTGCAGAAGAGATGTCAAAAAGTCACAAAATAAAGATAGATGAAGCACTAAAATCTAACTACTTTAGTATCGGTGTGAAACTTCAATTTCAAATTTTGTAATGAGAAATTTTATATCTCGTGTTCTGATTAGTTTGGACACCATTGGCACTTAGACTGTTTGTTCAACATTAAGAAACTTTGACTATAAGATAGAAGCTTCGGTTCCTAATCTTAATTTGCATTTTCGAATTTTTTTTTTCAATTTTGAGCAAAAGTATTACAGGAAAATTGTCTAACGGCGATGTCCGAAAGATTATACCTTCAAAAGTTTTTGACTAACGGATAACTTATGATCTGATGTAACTTGTTTTTTTCAAAACTTGACAGCGATTGTCGTTGACTGAAAAAACTGACGGTAGTATACAAACGACTCCACATGGAAACATTTTTTCCTTTATGTCAAATAAAATACAAATAATTGCCTGATTGAGCATCATAAACGGAAAGAAACAAACAATTAATATCCCAACATATATTACATCATACATCATTACATCAGTTAGAGTGTGCATGTGCGTCGAATATTTATTTCAACATTTTTCTTTTTGCTTCATATAAAAAAAGTTTCTTCGACTACTTTGGGCAGATATTGAAGAACAAGCTAAATATGTCGTTAAATAGCCGATCACAATGGAAGTGTCCAACATTCGATGGTGTACGTCTTCGATTATACAATAGTTTTACAAAAAAAAAGGTGAAAGTTATTATGTTAATTATTCTGGTGACAATATTCAACTCAAATTTCTTTTTCAGGAAATATTTGTGCCATTAAATGATAATGAAATTCGTTGGTATACTTGTGGTCCCACAGTTTATGATACATCTCATATGGGTCATGCAAGGTAGACTCTATTCTTTTTTATGCTTATATTCTTGCTAAATTTATCTGTGTATTTAGATCGTATATATCGTTCGATATTTTACGTCGTGTGCTACAAGATTATTTTGGCTATAATGTTGTATATTGTATGAATGTAACAGATATTGATGACAAGGTAGTATTCAGTATCGATATTCTAAATTACATTATTCTTTATGCTGTTAATTTAGATCATCAAACGTACCCGTGAACGATATCTTTATAAACAGTATATTGAAGCCAGTGATGTAACTTTAGAAAAAATTATAGATGATTGTCATTTGGCACTAAAAGTAGACTTTCTTTTTTTTATAAACAAAAATGAATTTTAATAACCAAATACGTTTTGTTATTTAGTACACAATCAATTTGAAATCACGTGAGACAGATACAGATAAACAAACAATGTATGACAAACAAATAACCACTGTAGAAAAGTCAACAGCAGAATTAAAAGCAAATTTACAATCGTCCAAATCTGATCATGACATAAATTTATATCGTACGGTAAGAAAATAGAATAGATTCAAACATGACGTCTCTTCGAGGATAGTAAACGCGTTTAACAAAAAGAAGACAATAGTTCTTAATTATATCAAAAAGCAAAAAAAAAAAAATCAACTACACAGTCCTAGTGGGAATATTGAATCGAATTATACAACGTATATTTTACAGATAACGAAATAATTTGGTTCATTCTGACAGAGTTACGAGTCTAGTAAGGTAAACTTCTTCCAAAAATTAAATTGAATTATTTTTCTCTATTTAGAAATTATTAACTGACTCTCGTGATATTCTCAGTTCATATTTTGATTCTATATCCGGACAGAATTTAAAATTGGATAATTCAATATTTCTTGATTTAGCTCGTTTATATGAAAGTGAATATCATAATGATATGTTTAAATTAAATATATTACCACCAGATATTTTAACAAGAGTTAGTGAATATGTAGATGAAATAATTCCGTTTATTCAAAAGATAATTGATAATGGTTATGCTTATGTATCAAATAATTCTGTTTATTTTGATACAATTAAATTTAATTCTGAACATACATATGCAAAATTAGAACCAGATCGTACAAGTGATCTGGCAGCGTTGGCCGAGGGTGAAGGTGTATTATCTGGATCCGCTAAAGATGAACATGGAAAAATTCAAACTACTAGTGAAAAACGAAATAATTGCGATTTTGTATTATGGAAAAAAAGTAAACAAGGTGAACCACTTTGGACATCGCCATGGGGTGAAGGACGACCAGGATGGCATATTGAATGCAGTGTTATGGCGAGCAGTATTTTAGGTAAACAATTTGATATTCATACGGGTGGTGTAGATTTAAAATTTCCTCATCATGATAATGAAATTGCTCAAGCAGAAGCCTATTATAATCATGATCAATGGGTAAATTATTTTTTACATAGTGGTCATCTGACAATATGTGGTTGTAAAATGTCAAAATCATTGAAAAATTTTATAACAATTAATCAGGCATTGGAAAAATATTCTAATAGACAAATACGTTTATTATTTTTATTACATTCATGGTCAAATACATTAGATTTTAGTGATAATGGAATGGATCGTGCGTTAACATATGAAAAACTATTAAATGAATTTTTTCTTAATGTTAAAACTCACATTCGAAATATAAAATTGAATGATATACAATCATATAAAAAGTTTGATGATAAAGATAAACAATTAAATGAGGAAATTTCAACTTTAAAGAGAGAAATACACGTGGCATTATGTGATTCAATTAATACGGCAGGATGCATGGACCAAATTCGACAAATGATTAGTCTTACAAATACTTATATGAATTCAACAAAAGTTGTTAATGCATTATTGATAAGAAATATTGCATCCTATATTACGAGAATATTATCTATATTTGGTTTGACAAATGACAATAGTGGAGATCAAATTGGATTTGGCAAGTCTGTACAAAATGCAGATGGAAGAACAATTGTTGATGTTGAACAAATCGCAATGCCATATGTTGAACAGTTTTCAAATTTTCGTGATTCGGTTAGAAAACAAGCAATTATAGCGAAAAATAAAGAGATATTAACTTTATGTGATCATGTGAGAGATGCTATATTACCAGATTTAGGGGTCAGATTAGAAGATGGAGGTAAAATTGAATATTTTATTATTCAAATTTAAAATAATTCATAGTATCAAGACAAATATTTAAATCATTCTCAAGGGTTATTTAAAAGAAAAAGTTGTCACACGTATACCATCAGTCCTATTTGTTTTGATGAGTATAAATTGTTTCTTAAAGAATGAGAAAAATTTCGTATTTCTTATCACAAATTAACATTTTTTGGCTTCAAAATCTACCGTTGTTCTGAACTTCGACCACTTTTTAAAGCTGTTTGTTCAAAATTTTATCAGAAAAACGTCGGACAAGTAGATTTCACGAAAGTACCTTCATCTTTTTGGCACACAACTTTCTAGATAAATGAAGAAACCGATCAAGAGCATAGTAGTCATTTTGGAGATAATAGTATACACGACAACAGCATAAACAACAATTGTAGTTTATTTTGCGTGCTAGATATACTTAATTAACCTGTTTCTATATTTATCTTACCTGTAGACTTACTGTCGTTTACGATTTTTTAGGTGAGAAAACGGCAATTAAGTTTTGTGATCCAGAAATATTACGAAAAGAACGAGAACAAGCGTTATTAGTTGAAAAAAGTAAACAAGAAGAAAAAGAACGACGAAAACTTGAACAACAAGCTGCCAAAGAAGCGAAGGAAGCAAAAAAAAAAGCGTCTAAAGATAAAAAGGTAATGATTATTTGAGAAATTTATATTTTACTCACTTTCATTTAGAAAAATCTTTATCATTTATTTTCAGAATGTTGCATCCAGTGGTGATACAGCGTCTGCTACATCAACAGCTGTCGTAGAAGAAAATTCTGCTCAAGATAAATCATGATATCATATATTTTACTTGTTTACATCACGTATGTCTGATTAATCTTGTTGTTTGTACTAAATTACAATGTTTACTCCTTTTTATTTATTGTTACCGTTGTTATGATTACGTTATATTGTTTTTTGTTTTATCTTGAAAAAAATGAAAATATAATTTAAACCTGAGTGATTGTTTTTATTATTAAGATTCCCTCTTACAAAAAATTGATTATTTTCACGAATTAAACATTATAGTGGAAATAGGTTTATCAAAGACCACTATTGTTTTATCCTATTTTTGAGTCTATTTTTGAATTAGAGCAAACTCTTCTCTTTAAACAAGACGTAACATGTCGCTATCAGCTTTTGCATTAGGACGTTATATGCATTTTCTGACGAGGCTCAAAATAGCGATTCTGTTAATCTTTGTTTGTTTGAAAGTCTAAACAAATCTATACAAAATAACCGAGACCAATTCTTTAGTTTCAGTCTTGTTATGGAGAAAACATATCTTTGAGTTTCAGTAGTCAACTTTTTCGAACTTTTAATTTGAAATATCGACCAGAAAGTTACCAAGAGAAAATTCAAAAATCGTTCACAGTCATTTTATAGGTTAACGTGTCTAATTTAGTTTAAGACCGAGTTTGGCTTTGCAGATAACAGCAGCTGCAAGATTTTTCTATTGTGCTAAATACGATGTTTTTCGTAGCTGTTGCCATCTATAATTCTCAAATTATTATAGTTGATTTTGATAAGCTTTCACATGATAAATTTTCCTTTCTGAAAGTTTAGTTCAAATCGGTTGTAGTGTAGAAAACAGTAGATCTGTAGAGGCTCTTAATTATTCGGTGAAACACCTGTTTTAGTTTAGCACTCACACTCTTAAAGCAGGCGTCTTAAAAATTCAGTTCTGTTTTGTACAAGAATTTCCAATCGTAACTTTCATCTTACCATTGTTGATATGCAAAAAATCTTATAAAAATCATAAAATTAAAAACAGTAACTAATTGACAAAAATATTCTTTGCAGTATAAATATTAAAAATATTGATACAGTGGTTATTTTCAATTGCATGCTGCTGCTGCTGTTTGTTGTTCCATATAATTTGTGTCTCCATTGATATTGTAGTACTTTTCTAGCAGTAAAACATTCACGAGCATTCCAATCGTCTCCACACATAATAAGAACTAATTCGCTATAAATAAAGAAAAGATTTTCAGATACGTAGTGATACCGATATGTTACTTTGGCGTACTCTGGATCATCTTGACATGAATAATCAAAGCCGGCTTTTTTCACTAACTGCTCTAATTCAATGAGACTATGTTCACCACATTTTTCACTAAATAAATGATAGATAAAAAAGTAGCAGTATAGTGTTCATCTAATATGAAAACATACATTACTGGAAGATCTGGAGCATGTAGTACTAACACGTTGACTTTTTCAACCTGATATTTTCCTACAAAGAAGAGAGAAACATTTTGATGTTAGAAAAGTTTGATGTTTACAACTCATACCTGTACGCGGTAAATTTGGCAATTCAAATAAACCAAAAAAGGAATCGTTTCGAAATGCTCGTTCACGTGTCCCATTTAAAATAACATATATTTCTCCAGAGGTTAAAGTTGCAAACTGAAAAGATAAAAAAAGATTTTTTATCATTGATACTCAAATATTCGACATTGACGAGGTGTGGCAAAATATATGCATCTAGTATAAAGTCGATACATCTAGATGTAAAGATAGAAGCCGCTCACTCTCATCTTCTCCCTCCCCCCTCCACCTCTTGTCTCTTTTCGTCTTCCATCTTCACATTTAGATGCATCGACTTTATACTAGATGCATATATTCTGCCACGTATGATCAAAAGAAATTAGTTTTACTCTTGGATGCTGTAGAGCTATATGAAATTTTTCTAAGCAATATTAAGTGAAACGTTGAGTTTTGTGAGTCTAGTTTTTCTTTCTTTGCTATTACGTACTGATTTACTTGCTAAACCCCAAAATGCAAGATCTGCCCAATAATTATGTGAGCATTTATATGGACAAAATTCATAATTGAATCCCTCAGAACCGTTTGTATTTCCACACCATGTCAATCCATTGACCATATACGCCGCTAACGTATCTTCTAATGTGACATAGTTATATCCACTTCCCCCGTAAGCATGCGTCACTCCATATGTGCCTGACCAAAACATCGCCTAAATGAGAGCACGAAACGAAAAATGCTGATACTATTTTAGTTCATATTACTAACGCGGTCAATCACATGTACACCACTCAGCGCTTGTCGAAAAAATTCTTGGTACGTTGTCATGTTCCAGTCACAAAATGCTGTGTATTTCACTGCAGCTTCAAAAATTCCATATAATTCTGTACAGTTTCTTACATTTCTAAATAAAAAGTGAAATTTGTAACTAGATAAAAATCTTGAATAAAGTTTTGTATGGTTCTTACGTATTATTAGTCAAAAACATTTGATGTCGAATATATTGATACTCTAAACATCGTCCGATCATGATTTCTTTCAGACCACATGTCGTTCCGTTTGTTTTTAGATATGTACCATTGCATAAATGGGGGCTTGAAATTTGATTTGTTGTATCTGTTTTTTGTGGTGGTGATATATCGTGTAAGGGACGACGAATATCTTGCGCATCACTTAAGAGATGTGGTGCTTTCAGTGGAATATTTACTGATTTTGCGTGTCGTTTAAATTTTAAAAATTGATGGGTGGAAGTAACAGAGCATAATATCAAAAACAAAACTAAACAGAGATTGTTTATATACCAGCGACCAAATGATATTTGACCCTGATCGTTCCAGTTTTTAATATGGACGAAAACTATTAACTATATATTTTTATTGTGAGTATGAACAGTGGTACGTTATAATGAATATATCACTTAATTTTTATGGCTCATAATAACATTAGAGTTTGTCAACCATTTATATGTCATCATTTGTAAATCAAATGATTTATTATAGTAAAAGAGTAAATAACTTATTTTGCTTTTTTCTTCTTCGATCAATTGAGTGCTGATGAAATATGGATTAAGGTAGCGGAAACTTTCAAGTCATGGTAGTGCATATTTCTATGACAGATCATATCACCATAGTTTTTACAAGAGAAGAACTCGCAAGCCTCATACATATGCATTGCTTTGCAATTCATTTCTTCCAGAACAAACTCATTTAAATTTTATCACTAGGTATACTAGTCATCATATTTCCATCCACGTAACTACGATCTGTCTATAGTGAGTAAAGTAAAATTAATCTGTTAAATAAATTATAATTTATAGTTCCTCTATTTGATCTGTCTACTATTTCATAATGTTTTTCCTTAAATTTAACTCATTTTCTTAAACTTTTCATTCAAGATAGAAGTATGCTACTATTTTTGCTTTTAATTCCAACTGTTTTCTCTTAAATGAGAAAATTCTTTTTTTCATTCTTATGATGTTTATTTTTAAGTTTTTGAGAGTGTATGTGGTGCGTAAGCGAAACAGATTTCTAGATAATTATAAAAGAATGTTTAATTCTCAATGGATATAATAAACCTACTCACCTTTGTTAATCAACATGCTGCTGTTTCTTAAATTTGTTGTAAAAGTGTGAAAATACGCGATATTATTGTTTTATTGATACCTTTTCTTATCCGTGAATGGAATTACTGATTCTTAATATAGTGTATAGTATGCGTCTTTTTCGTTGAAGAATTCATCAATCTCTATCACTTAATGATATGTTTTTGTTCTTATATACTGGAATCATCATAGGATATAGAAATCTTTTTGTCTTTCATAAATAGACACCTTTAAAGTTTTGATTGCATGCATATTTGCATGCGCGTTATATACTTGAGAACAAAAAACAAATATTAGTTGTTTAATGCGTTCGAAAATAAAATATCAAGAATATTAAATATATCATGCAAACAAGTGTGTGTATATAAGAGAAATCGAGAGAGAAAGATGAGAGAGAGAAAGTATGCTCTAAATGTAACAACATTCTTTATATATTATAGCTATCTGGTGTTTACACCAACAAGATATTTTCTACTACTGTGTGTTAATTATAGAATAAATCGTATGTAAAAATGCTGCTTTTCTCTTTATTAATAATTAGCATAATCTTATATACGTTTACTACAACACTTCTGTAAATATACAATGAGCTTTCTCCCTTCCATTCATACTAGAGCAAACGCAGAAAAAAACGCATATAAGATCTGTGACATTCAAACTGCTGTTTAGACCGTAAAAACAGTATTGTTTTGATTATATTCCATACGTCTACATGTCACGAAGATGAAAATGTATAATAAAAACTAACAGCAACATCATGAATAAGACTGTATGTTGAAATATATCAACAAACTACATCTAAATATAAAATTTGCGGTAGAAGTGTAAAAGAGCGATAAACTGTCATTTTTCGATGTAATGGTTGAACGGTTCAGTGATGAACTGATTATTTATGTCTATAGAAAACTCACTCATACTGGACTATATCTTAATTGGACCAGTAATAAGCCTAGAAAATATAAAATAAACTTGCTAAATGCTTGTGTATCAGACTAAACCGATTTGTTCAACCAATGAATTATTTGAAAGAAAACTACGATACCATACACGAATCTTTAGTGCTAATGATTATCCGTTGAACGTTGTGAAAAAGTTGATATAAGGGATAAAATGAATAAGAACTTACAAAAGCCCGTTCAACCTTCAAACATTAGACAATGTTACATCTCATTTCCTTACTATAGTATATCCTTATTAGCTTTGGCTATTAGTATTAAAACATCTTCTGCAAAGTCCACTGAAAAAGGTAACTTTCGGATTTAAAGCTGTACGCACAATATCATCTGTTTTTAGTAGATCAATTCGTGAGACACAGGACTTTAAGAGGGTACAAATATGACTGCTGTGGATGTACGAACAGCTATATAGGACAAACAGCGAGAGGAGTAACAGTAAGAAAAAAGGACATCAAAGGGTCCTTTGTGGCAAAGGATAGCTGTCTATTGTTTGGACACGTGTCATTGCATGTTGTCATTACTAACTGGAATTCAGAAATTCTTGCAATTGAATCAATCACACCTTATAAAAAGGACTATCAAAGCGAGCTTGTTGATGGACTTACAGAACAAAACAAAAGAAAAAATTTACTCACAAAAAAACTTTGACCTCAAAGTATTTTGATGACCTATCACGTAGTCCACGTATATAGTAGAAAATAGACAGTTCTTTTTGTTTTATCTTGTTGTGATTTACATTATATTACTTGTATTTTATTTTATCTCTTATTTTTCTGCCGCCAGAATCAACTGTCGATTGCCACATTTGACTGATAATGTCTTTTGAATAAAGGAGAAACGTCTCTAACAGAAAATACGGTTCAAGCCCGAACTCCGCACACTTTTAATAAAAAGTGACTGTATCTACATTCCAAACTATAAATTTGAAATGTACGTGATCTCAAACTCCGCACACTTTTTAATTAACAAGTAAAACATGAACTGTAAGAAATAAAAAAATACATGTATTATTTCATACATTCTTAATTTGCTTGTGATATTTCGTCCATATAGCGATAAACTACTGCTCGCGCAGTTGACATGTGTTCATGCCACGAATACATTGTTGTTCTAGATTTTGATGTGGTTCGTGATAATGTTGGCCTTTTTGAATCACAGATTTGTTTGAATGAATTAATATCGCAGCACTACACTCCTTATTGGTACAGAGCCTTTTTCACTATTTCTGATATGACGATATCGATGTAAATTATAAATGCAAACTTGTGAACCACGCCGACCGGTTTCAGTTTCAAATTCCATTTCGTAAATATTTGTGGGTACACATGTGTTTTTGTATAGAGAATATATATCTTTTTAGGAATTATTTGATTACTCATTTTTCATATTAGGTGTCCCAATTTCTCAGTTTCCCATAATTTCTTGATTTTTACTTATTTGTCGTATCAGTCATCATTTATATTATTTACACAGCATTTAAATTATATTCAAATAAAGAAGCGTAACAATAGCTTTTCGCTATACGGACAAAATATTACAATCAAATTAAGAATGTATGAAAGAATATATGTATTTTCTCATTTCTTACAGTTCATATTTTACTTGTTAATTAAAAAATGTGCGGAGTTTGAGATCATGTACATTTCAAATTTATGTAATTATATGCGGTGTGAGATATAGGTATAGTCACTTTTTATTAAAAGTGTGCGAAGTTCGGGAAGTAACGGAAAATAGCGAGTGCACGATTTACTATCCGTTGATTAATTTCTATTTAATTAGCTTTTTTTCATAGAAAAGTATAATTTTCTTATATACGCATTTATTTTCCGTTGATTACATATAAATATATTCCACTTTGGCTGTGTTCTTATATACGGATTTACTTTCCGTTGATTAGAGTACTTCAGGGTAATTAGAGACACTCTTTGAAATTTTCATCCTTTTTCTGCTATTTCTTGGCCGTTTTTGATCGGAAAAACTTGCTATTGAACACGGTGGTAGACCGAACATTTTTCTACACGCTCATGCAAAAATCTATTGAAAATCTCCGGCCAATT